AGCTGCCTTCACTATGGCTCTACCATGCAAACCCTAGTCCATATGCATCAGACTTCCAGTCATTCTGTATCCTCACCAACACTTGGTATTGTCAGGGTTTTTGTTTTGTTTTGTTTTGTTTTTTAATTAGACCAATTCAAATTGACATACAGTTTTAAAATCACTTTCCCTAGTAGCTAATGATAAAACACTTTTTAAGCATTTACTTATTATTCAAATATCTGGTGAAATGTCTGCTCAAACTTTTTACTTACTTAAAAAACTATTTTCTTATTATTGAGCTTTGAGAGGTCTTTATATCTTTATAATCCTAAAGACAAGGGCTTTATGAAAGATGTGATTTGCAAATAAATATTTTCCTACCAGTCTAAGGCTATTTTATCATCCTCTTAACAATATTTGTGCAGGACAAAAGTTTTAATTTTCATAAGGTCTAATTTACCAACCTTTTCTTTCGTTGAACATACCAACTACAAGGTTATTCAGATTTTCTTGTTTTCTTCTGGAAAATTGACATTTAGATCTCTGATCCACTTTGAATTAAGTTTTTTAAAAGTGTGGGGTAGCTGTCTAGGTTCTTTTGTAGCAACAGCAGAGGTGGTGGGGGCTATGGACTAGAACAGTTGTTCAAGAACTACTTGTTGAAAAAACTATCTTTTCCTATTGAACAAAATGCATTGCCCTTATATACGTGGGTCTGTTCTTGGATGTTTTATTCTGTCCAGTTGATCTCTTTGTCATTTCCCGAGAACCACACTGTTTTGGTGTGGTTAGAGCTACAGTAGCTCGACATTAACCCTTGAAATCAGGCAGTGTGTACCTCCAACCTCTGTTCTTTTACTGCTTTCATCAGTGTCTCAGCATAAAGATCTTGCACATATTTTATAAATAAATTCATTTAAAAACATTTACGTCTTTTGCGTATGACTGGAAATGATAAAACGTTTTACATTGTGGTGGGTTCTTTGAGATTTTTTTTCATAGATAATCACACTGAGAATAGAGGAAGGTTTTCTTTCTCCCCTTCTAATCTGCCTTTGATTTCTTTTTCTTGTCTTATTATAATGGTTACAGTCAGAGAACACTGCCTGATTTCAGTTCATTTAAATCTGTAATGAACTTCTTAAGACCCAGAATGTGAGTCATCTACACCCCTACTCAATCTCTGTCTGCCTCTTTCAGCCATTCCTAAGAGAGCAGTGCTCAAGTCTCCAGATGGCACTCGTGCATTTGTCCAGTTCTCCACTCAGGTCTCTCTCTTCTTATTTCATGTGTTTTTAAGCTCTGCTGTTGTGGTATGAACACTTAGGATTCTGGTGTCTTGCTGGTGACCTGACTTTCATGCTTTCTCTTCTAGGGGCGGGCTGAGAAACAAATTCAGGACTACCCATCATCTTTGACTTTATTGTTTTGTTCAATTCTGGTCTTCCTAAGCTGGATACCAAGCTCATTCAAAAAGGACGATAAAACATGATCCTATAAATACGCTTTTATGCAAGTAGGTGATGCCAGTTAAATCACAATGATCTCTCTTCTGACCATTAAAATTCTGATTATTTTAATAATAATATTATAAAACTTATAAGAAGATACAAGTACTTCTTAATGTCGAAGGTATCTTTTTCAAGTAGTTTTTCTCTGAAATAAAAATAGCTCTGAGTTTTACCTTAAATGCATTTAAATGATATTTTTCTTGACTTTCTTTCATTATTTTAACATGTACTTGGAGTTTTTAAGATCTAATTTGCACTTATGCCAAGCTGCAATTAAGTATCCATCCAAATGTTTTATGTGATTTTTCATCCATCAACTTTATTCCCTTTAGAACACAGCCCTAAGCTGCTTTACTCTATTGAGAACCATTCAATAAACACATTAAATAACAGTACAACATTATCTACAGCCCACCCACATGCCCTGTGAATCTTGAAAAAGGTTACAAAGCAGGTCCAAAGGATCATGTTTCAACTAACTAAGGGATCTACTTGCAAACTGAGCATAAATGGAGGAATGTAATGGAGTCACAGCTAAGAATGTACAAACATGTGCTCGCTTGGACAGCACATATACTAAAATGGAAACAATAGAGAGAATATTATCATGGCCCCTGCATAAGAATGACACACAAATTCATGAAGCAATACATATCTTTTAAAAAAAAAAGAATGTACAAACATAATCAATACTGTTAAATAAAAGCATCACTGTTTTCAATAAATATGTTAATAGCCTATATTTTTTCAAAAAGTGACTGTTCATGAAGTACCCATTAGCAGACGAATGGATAATAAAGATGTGGTACACATATACAATAGAATGTTATTCAGCCATAAAAAGAATGAAATATTGCCATTAACATGGATAGACCTAGAGATTATCATACTTAATAAGTCAGACAGAGAAAGACAAATACTGTATGATTTCACCTGTATGTGGAATCTAAACAACAAAATGAACAAATATAAATAAACAGAGTCAAAGATACAAAGAAAAACAGATGTTTACTAAAATGGAGGCAGTGAAATATTGAAACAGAAATAGTGAATCACTATGTTTGTATACCAGGAACTAACATGGTGTTGAAGGTCACTTCGAAAACCAACCAACAAACCAACCAAGAAAAAAAGGATCAGATTTGTGATTTTTCAGAGGCGGGGTTGTGGGAAGGGGAACTAGATGAAGGCAATCAAAAGGCAGGAACTTCCAGTTGCAAGAAAAATAATTATTAAGGATGCAATGTACAACATGATAAATATACATTATATACGAAAGTAAACAGAGTAAGCTCTAAGAGTTTTCATTACAAGGAAAAAACATTTTTTTTCCTATTTCTTTACTTCTGTATGTGTATGATGACGTATGCTTGCTAATTTTACTGTGGTCATCACTTCACAGCATCTGTAAATCAGAGCACTGTGCTGCACCTTACACAGTGCTGTACGTCACTCTTGTCTGTCTCAACAATGGAGGAAGAAAAGACCATGGGCATGTACAGCATGGTCACAGTGTAATGGAGAGAAGCTAACACTGCTTGGTTAGAGAGGGGTTGTCTGTGCTTCTGTCTTTATCAAGCCCAGCCTCTCCAACAGGTTCTCTTCCTACAAACAGGCTCAGGTCCACAGAAGCCCCAAACATGCAGCAAACCACCCAAGAGGCTCTTGCTGACAGAGCCAACACTCTGTGAGATGTGCTCGCTGCCTGCGGTTCAAGCCACTGCCTCACTCCCTCCTCTACATGTCTGTGGTCTTGCTCTGCTTTCCCTGAGTGCTGACGCCTCTCACCGAATCCAGCTGCCTCTCAGTCCTAACCCCAGCCAGTCTCTCCACTACGAAGGACTCCGAGGACCATACCTTCCTCTCACAGTTCTCTGCTGACTTTTGTACCCAGCACTTCCTAATGCATTTCTTCCCTCTCCCCCCATCTCTGCTCTGTCCTCTCTGATTCTACTTCCTTCTACTATCTGACAAAGGGAAGTAGTGAGCCAAGATTGCATCCTGAGTCCTGGCTTTGACTCCCTCCCCATCTCTCATTATCTGCTCCCCTCTCCCAGAGAAAACTCATGACAACCAGCTCTAAAGCAGACTGGGATTGAGAAAACATCATGGAGTCAGAGGCCTGGCTTCCATCTCTGGTACCAATGACACAGAAGCTATGCACCCATACCACACCCCCTCAATGCCACAAAAGTGAAGCACTCTCCTCTAATGTTCAGTCCAATCCAATTTATTGTTAGATCTACAATTCTAACCCAAAAGAACACCAGATTTCCAGCTGTAACTTCTCAAACACACTATAAATCTGTCATTTAACTGTCCCAGCTCCAAACTTAATCTCTCAAATCAACAAAAACTCCTTTCAAGTGACCTATTAATGTTGATATACTGGTGCCACCAATACCTTAAGCTTGAAATGCTAGCAGTCCTATACACTTACTGCCTTTTATTCACACTTTCTCTCTTCCGAGCCACCTCCCATACACTCATGGTCTAATTCACAGAGCATCCCTTCCAAGAAGTGAGCCTCAGCCTCCCAATCTGGTCACCATCTCCTGTAAGCAGAAGAACCAAGACACTCTGTGTGCCTCTCTCAGAAGACTCAGGTTTTATAGGAACATCGGTTTATAGCCAATTCTTCTTAGCATCTGCGAAAAGCTGGGCACCTTGGACACTGCCTTTTCCAGAGGATGGAAAAACCAAGATACAAATTCAATTGATTAAACTCAATATAAACTCTGGACACAGTAGAAACAGAATTTTCTAAAAAAAATTTTTTTTTCAAGAAAAACTGATATATAATGAACCAGATGTTCTGGCTCTAAAATAGTGTTCTTCTTAAGCTAAGAAAGCAGAAACTCCTTTTAAATGCGTTCAAATCCCAAGCCAACTCACAGAGAGAGTGCATCTCTGAGAGCTCACAGGATTTTTAAAAGCATATTTATTAAAAGACACACTCTTAAACATTTGATGTTACCTTTGAGCATTTCTTTTTTTTACCCAAGTGGTTTCTGAGACAAAGCATCTGATGAACCATTGGACCTGATGAACTGTCCTCCTAAGTGTGGATCTGATTAGTAAGTCAGAAGGCCCGGGCAGCACACACTACCTTCTGCTTCAACAGCCCGCAGCACAAAGAATCTCCCAAATACAACACTATGTCACTGATTTTCAGTTTCATTAAAAAGCTTCAGTGCATTCCTCTAAAATCTTATTTTCTAAAATGCCCCCCATTGAGATAGTAAAACAAATAGAGAGAGGGAAAAAAAGGGGAGGAGGTGTGTTTCAGCTTTATTACACAAAAATGTTGCCTAGCAGACAGAAGAACCAGAATATCCAAAGAGTCTAAACCAGAGAAGCCAAATCTTTGGCTTAATTCACTTAGAAGAGGGGCTGTCCGGTGTGAGGCCAAGCAGGCAGTACACTGCGTCCCTGCCAGAACATGACCTGAAACCAGGGGCCTGTCCACTGCCCAGCTGCTAAGACTGCGGGCGGGGTCCGACCTACCTGGCTGAGTCCTGCGGCAGGGATCTTGTAGGCCTGCAGCTTCTGCCTCAGCAGCTCGGGGTCGCTGTGTCGGAAGGGGCACCCTGGCAACGACACGCAGCACAACAGTAGGTTATCCACCCAGACTCAACACAACACCACGCTGGAGAGACTCCTGAGCACCCCTCAACTGTCCAACAGCCTATTAACAAAAGGGTTAACTGCCCATGGGTGCAGCCATTTTCCTCTCTTCGTCTAAGTGACAGCTGAGCTGTGCGTTATCAGGGCACTACAGGCTTGAGAGTGACACAAAGCTTCCAGCGTTCTCAGGAGAGGCTGCCCACTCACTAGGAAGGGGGAGCAGCTTTAATCATGCTACTTGCTAACAACCTGAAATAATCACCAAGTAGCTATGAAGCATTTTACCTAAAAATTTCATTCAATCTTTCAATCTCACATTATTTTTTTCTAGTTTAAAAAAATACATAAAGGCATAAAGGAAGATAGATGGCATAAACGAAAAGAAAAAATGTGCTAACTTTAGGAAATATAAAAATCTCACATCATTTTCATATGTTAATTTTATGCCTACTTCCCCAAGTCCAAGGTCAGGGGCAGTGGAGAGAGGAGCTACCCCTCGTCCAAGGTAAGGAGCAGCGGCGGCACCTTGCTGGAGCAGCCGTGAAGAGACACCCCACATCCAAGGCCAGAGAAACCCAAATAAGACGGCAGGCACTGAGAGAGGGCATCAGAGGGCAGACAGACTGAAACCACAATCACAGAAAACTAGCCAATCTGATCACAGGACCACAGCCTTGTCTAACTCAATGAAACTAAGCCATGCCGTGTGGGGCCACCCTGGAAGGACGGGTCATGGTGGAGAGGTCTGACAGAATGTGGTCCACTGGAGAAGGGAATGGCAAACCACTTCAGTAGTCTTGCCTTGAGAAGCCCATGAACAGTATGAAAAGGCAAAAAGATATGTCACTGAAAGATGAACTCCCCAGGTCACTAAGAGCTCAATATGCTACTGGAGATCAGAGGAGAAATGACATCAGAGTCAGAAAGAACAAAGGGATGGAGCCAAAGCAAAAACAACACTCAGTTGTGGATGAGACTGGTGATAGAAGCAAGGTTCAATGCTGTAAAGAGCAATATTGCATAAGAACCTGGAACGTTAGGTGCATGAATCAAGGCAAATTGGAAGTGGTCAAACAGGAGATGACAAGAGTGAACATCGCATTCTAGGAATCAGCGAACTAAGACAGACTGGAATGGGTGAATTTAACTCAGATGATCATTATATCAACTACTGTGGGCAAGAATCCCCTAGAATAAATGGAATAGCCATCATAGTCAACAAAACAGTCCAAAATGCAGTACTTGGATGCAATCTCAAAAACGACAGAATGATCTCTGTTCATTTCCAAGGCAAACCATTCAATATCACGGTAATCCAAGTCTATGCCCCGACCAGTAACGCTGAAGAAGCTGAACAGTTGTATGAAGACCTACAAGACCTTCTAGAACTAACACCGAAAAAGATGTCCTCTTCATTGTAAGGGACAGGAATGCAAAAGTAGGAAGTCAAAAAATACTTGGAGTAACAGGCAAATTTGGCCTTGAAGTACAGAATGAAGCAGGGCAAAGGCTAATAGACTTCTGCCAAGAGAACGCACTGGTCATAACAAACACCCTCTTCCAACAACACAAGAGAAGACTCTACACATGGACATCACCAGATGGTCAACACCAAAATCAGACTAATTATATTCTTTGCAGCCAAAGATGGAGAAGCTCTATACAGTCAGCAAAAACAAGACCAGGAGCTGACTGTGGCTCAGATCATGAACTCTTTACTGCCAAATTCAGACTTGAATAAAGTAGGGAAAAGCACTAGACCATTCAGATATGACCTAAATCAAATCCCTTATGACTATACAGTGGAAGTGAGGAATAGATTTAAGAGACTAGATCTGATAGACAGAGTGCCTGATGAACTATGGATGGAGGTTCATGACACTGTACAGGAGAAAAGGATCAGAACCATTCCCAAGAAAAAGAAATGCAAAAAGCAAAATGGCTCTCTGAGGAGGCCTTACAAATAGCTGTGAAAAGAAGGGAAGCGAAAAGCAAAGGAGAAAAGGAAAGATATACCCATTTGAATGCAGAGTTCCAAAGAACAGCAACAGGAGATAAAAAAGCCTTTCTCAGTGATCAGTGCAAAGAAATAGAGGAAAGTAACAGAATGGAAAAGATTAGAGATCTCTTCAAGAAAATTAAAGATACTAAGGGAACATTTCATGCAAAGATGGGTTCAATAAAGGACAGAAATGATAGGGACCTAACAGAACCAGAAGATATTAAGAAGAGGTAGCAAGAATACACAGAAGAACTGTACAAAAAAGATCTTCATGACCCGGATAACCACAATGGTGTGATCACTCACCTAGAGCCAGACATCCTGGAATGTGAAATCAAGTGGGTCTTAGGAAGCATCACTATGAACAAAGCTAGTGGAGGTGATGGAATTCCAGTTGAGCTATTTCAAATCCTGAAAGATGATGCTGTGAAAGTGTTGCACTCAATATGCCAGCAAATTTGGAAAACTCAGCAGTGGCCACAGGACTGGAAAAGGTCAGTTTTCATTCCAATCCCAAAGAAAGGCAATGCCAAAGAATGCTCAAACTACCGCACAATTGCACTCATCTCACATGCTAGTAAAGTAATGCTCAAAGTTCTCCAAACCAGGCTTCAGCAATACGTGAGCCATGAACTTCCAGATGTTCAAGCTGGTTTTAGAAAAGGCAGAGGAACCAGAGATCAAATTGCAAACATCCGATGGATCATCAAAAAAGCAAGAGAGTTCCAGAAAAACATCTATTTCTGCTTTATTGACTATGCCAGAGCCTCTGACTGTGTGGATCACAATAAACTGTGGAAAATTCTGAAAGAGATGGGAATACCAGACCATCTGACCTGCCTCTTGAAAAAACCCGTATGCAGGTCAGGAAGCAACAGTTAGAACAGGACATGGAACAACAGACTGGTTCCTAATAGGGAAAGGAGTATGTCAAGTCTGTATATTGTCAGACTTGCTTATTTAACTTATATGCAGAGTACATCTTGAGAAACGCTGGGCTGGCGGAAGCACAGGCTGGAACCAAAATTGCTGGGAGAAATATCCATAACCTCAGATATGCAGATGACACTACCCTTATGGCAGAAAGTGAAGAAGAACTAAAGAGCCTCTTGATGAAGGTGAAAGAGGAGAGTGAAAAAGTTGGCTTAAAGCTCAACATTCAGAAAACTAAGATCATGGAATCCGGTCCCATCACAAAATGGCAAATAGATGTGGAAACAGTGGCTGACTTTATTTTTTGGGCTCCAAAATCACTGCAGATGATGACTGCAGCCTTGAAATTAAAAGACTCGTACTCCTTGGAAGGAAAGTTGTGATCAACCTAGACAGCATAATAAAAGCAAAGACATTACTTTGTCAACAAAGGTCCGTTTAGTCAAGGCTATGGTTTTTCCAGTGGTCATGTATGGATGTTAGAGTTGGACTATAAAGAGCTGAGTAACAAAGAATTGATGCTTTTGAACTGTTGTGTTGGAGAAGACTCTGAGTCCCTTGGACTGCAAGGAGATCCAACCAGTTCATCCTAAAGGAAATCAGTCTTGAATATTCTATGGAAGGACTGATGCTGAAGCTGAAACTCCAATACTTTGGCCATCTGATGTGAAGAGCTGACTCATTTGAAAAGACCCTGATGCTGGGAAAGATTGAGGGCAGAAGGAGAAGGGGACGACAGAAGATGAGATGGTTGGATGGCATCACCGACTGAACAGACTTGGGTTTGGGTGAACTCCAGAAGTTGGAGATGGACAGGGAGGCCTGGCATGCTGCAGTTCATGGGGTCGCAAAGAGTCAGACACGACTGAGCAACTGAACTGAACTGAACCCAAACTGTGAATCCATACAAATTTAGAGGAATCCCAGATGGAAATGGGATGAACAAACAGGAAAATACTTCATAGAAAAATGACTTATAGGAGGTATACAGAATCTCTGTATTATTTCATAAGAAAAATAAAAATAGACTACTAAAAACACTGGCATAAACAAGAACACCAAAAATATCTAAAAGCTGTGTATGCCAAAACCCAGGCAATTTTAGATATTTTAATAAGAAACTACAATGATAAGTCAACATATTTTATTTAAAAGTTAACACAGGAAGCCAGGGAAATTTTTTTTCAATCATTGCTGACAGATCTGTAAGTTAATGAGAGACAATTGCACATTATTAATGAAATCAATGGGAAGTGGGCTGCAACAGAAATAATGGAAAAGAACCCAGAAGCTAAACAAGTATGGTTAAAAAAGCCTTAACTACGAATAAAAGCACACATGATAACACTGGATTCCTACAAATTATGGAAGTCACAAAATTCATGGTAGTATATATTTTATTAAGATCAACACACTAACACTGTTTAGTACCAGGAAGTGTGATGAGCAGGTACACAACATGTGGTTAAGAGTCTGGAGCTTCCTTTCCTGCGTCTGAATCTCAGTTTACCAGCTAAGGATTGGGGGGCTGTATGCATATCTGCATCTTGTTGTTGACTCAGCTTCACTCTCTGTTAGCGTGGGAAATACGTAGCAGAGCTCCTGTGAGAATGGTATTTATAAAGCCCTTCCACACTCCCAGCATACAGCAAGCACAGCTCAACATGGGTTAGCCAACATTATTATTCTGAAAAAAAGTCTTATAATGAAATTGCAAAGGATCACAATGAGAAGGAAATGAGGCTTCATTAAGTTCAGAATCATTAAAAGTGCAAGTCACTCAGGCGTGTCCGACCCTTTGCGGCCCCATGGACTACACAGTCCATGGAATTCTCCAGGCCAGAATACTGGAGTGTGCAGCCGTTCACTTCTCCAGGGCATCTTCCCAACCCAGGTCTCCCGCACTGCAGGCAGATTTTTTGCCATCTGAGCCACTAGAATTATTAAAAGACACTAACAAGAGACAGATTAACTGAATTGTCCAAATTGCACTTGAAATACTGGCCATGCCTATATGAAAAGGTCAGAAAGGGCAAAGCCAAGAAGAAACCAAAGATTGACAAAAAGCCACAGATCACAAAAAGCATTTCAAAGCTTCGCTCACAACAATAAGAAAACAGAAGAAACAATCCACCTCAGGAGTAGGGAAGCTGGTGTTATTTTTGACAAATGACAGAAAGAAAACAGAATTCAGCAACTCCAAGCTTTGCTTCTATCTTTCAACAACCTTCCAAACTAGAAAGGGCTGACTCACAAGGTAACTGAAGGTAAAGGGAGTGTAGATACAACTCATACTGTCCCAGCCAAGTGTTGAACAAAACTGCCCAGCACACATTTGTGGAAGAGATGGATAAACAGCCTGGAATACAGTTCTACCTACATCGACTCAAGATTGGCTGAACAACCATTCCCAGCAGCACTGGTTAATTAAATGCTGTCAACCTAGGGGACTACAGAGCTGTGCAAATTACACAAACCTGAAAAGATAGAGACTTCAGGTTTCCAGCCTGGCACAGAAAGAGCATAGAAGTTTTTACTTCATCCTAACAAGTAAAAGGCTGAACAGACTGGAAATCAGCAACTCCACTCAGACCCATCAGAGAAATGAGGTCACAGGGCAAACCACTACCCGCAAAATTAGAGAGAGAGGCAGACACAGAGAACCACAACACACCAGAGCAGAAATCTCTGCAGCAGCCAGCACTTGGGTAAGAACTCCTACCCTGGAACTGAGATTTCTGGTCTGTGTGTGGATGACTCTGAGAGAGAGAAGCTCCAGGGCAACTGGCCAGAGGAGGCCACACTGTGCAGGTGAATGGCAGGGGTCCCACCAGTGGCTCACAGCATGTAACAGAGAAACCCACTCACTTCCCCGGAGCACTCTGTTCTGCTTAGCAAGGGTGCCCTCAGGAGAGCTATTCCAAATCCTAAAAGATGATGCTGTGAAAGTGCTGCACTCAATATGCCAATAAATTTGGAAAACTCAGCAGGGGCCACAGGCCTGGAAAAAGTCAGTTTTCATTCCAATCCCAAAGAAAGGCAATGATAAAGAATGCTCAAACTACCTCACAATTGCTCTCATCTCATATGCTAGTAAAGTAATGCTCAAAATTCTCCAAGCCAGGCTTCAACAGTATGTGAACAAAGAATTTCCAGATGTTCAAGCTGGATTTAGAAAAGGTTGAGAAACCAGAGATCAAATTGCCAACATCGGCTAAATCATCGAAAAAGCAACAGAGTTCCAGAAAAACATCTACTTCTGCTTTACTGACTACACCAGAGCCTTTGTTGTGTGGATCACAATAAACTGTGGAAAATTCTTAAAGAAATGGGAATACCAGACCACCTTAACTGCCTCCTGAGAAATCTGCATGCAGGTCAAGAAGAAAAAGTTAGAACTGGACAGGGAACAACAGACTGGCTCCAAATCGGGAAAGGAGTACTCTGTATTGTCACCCTGCTTCTTTAACTTATATGCAGAGTACATCATGAGAAACGCTGGGCTGGATAAAGCACAAGCTGGAATCAAGATGGTCAGGAGAAATATCAATAACCTCAGGTGTGCAGATGACACCACCCTTATTGCATAAAGTGAAGAAAAACTAAAGAGCCTCTTGAGGAAAGTGAAAGAAGAAAGTGAAAAAGTTGGCTTAAAACTCAACATTCAAAAACTAAGATCATGGCATGCAGCCCCACCATGTCATGGCAAATAGATGGGGAAATAATGGAAACAGTGACAGACTTTATTTTTTTGGGCAGATGGTGATTGCAGCCATGAAGTTAAAAGACTCTTGTTCCTTGGAAGAAAAGCAATGACCTAGAAAGCATGTTAAAAAAGCAGAGACATTACTTTGCCAACAAAGGTCCACCTAGTCAAAGCTATGGTTTTTTCAGTAGTCGTGTACGGATGTGAGAGTTGGACTGTAAAGAATGCTTAGCACCGAAGAACTGATGCTTTTGAACTGTGGCGTTGGAGAAGATTCTTGAGAGTCCCTTCAACTGCAAGGAGATCCAACCAGTCCATCCTAAAGGAGATCAGTCCTGGGTGTTCATTGGAAGGACTGATGCTGAAGCTGAAACTTCAATACTCTGGCCACCTAATGCAAAGTACTGACTCATTGGAGAAGACCCTGATGCTGGGAAAGATGGAAGGCAGGAGGCAAATGGGATAACAGAGGATGAGATGATGGGATGGCATCACCAACTCAATGGACATGAGTTTGAGTAAGTTCTGAAAGTTGGTGAAGGACAGGGAAGCCTGATGTGCTGCAGTCCATGGGGTCACAGAGATTCAGACACAATTGAGTAACTGAGCTGAAACTGAAGTAAATAAGCAATGTGTTGAGGACCTGGAAACAGACAGAACCCTCTCTTCAGGAGCTGCACTTGGCCAAGTAAATTACTTCGGTGTAATTACCAGGGTGTAAATTACTCCCTGGTGTGGCCACTGGGGAAAGCTACAGACTTTCTCACCACAGCTATCTGGTCAGTTGCTTTCAAAGTTTAGAAGACATAAAAATCATCCAGGACCTTGAAAATAAATCTGATTTTATGCATCTGAGAGTGGAGTCTGCAAGTCTGCATTTCTAAAAGTTTCATAAGTGCTGGATGTGACAGGTGAGAACCACTCACTGAATGTTCCAGGCCTGGCCACCCCTGTGTCTACTAAACAAATGTTCTGGACACATAAAGCATCTTGGTTAAAATTCCACTTGGGATTTTTTTAGATCTTTAACAGCTTACAACTGTATGATCATCTAAAAAAGAATTTCATTTAAGATACTAAAACAAAGTTTTGACACATACTGTAGTCAGCTGTGGTAATCTAGAAAATTTAATGAATATGGACTATTAAATCTTTCTGTCACACATCAGACAAATGGAGGAACTTTTCAGGGTATGCTCAAATAAGTATTTTAGAAAAAAAAGTGTTAAATTCAGCAATCTACAGGAAACAGATTAACTTTTTTTTAACCTACAACTTAAGACAAATTGATAGATATTTGAAATCATGACTTGTTAAATCCCTCGCTTACTTTGTTTGTTAGTCAGATAGAAAATTAACGAATATACCCTTCTAAAATCTGAGGCACTCAACTTTAAAAAGCTTTGATCAACCGTCTAAGCCGCGTGCAGAAGCAAGAGAACAGCAGGTGAAGGAGCTGAAGGCCTGAAGAGCCTGGCTCAGCACAAAGCGGAGCACAGTGGGACCACGTTCTCTTACTGGCCCAGCTCAGTAATAAAACAAACTATAAGAGCCAGTGGACCTCTGGCTTGACCTGATGACTGACAGGAAGCCACAAGCCTTTAGTAACGCAAAGTCTGTTGCACTGTTCCCTGCAGAGCTACTGGGCTTCTGTGCATTACAGACACGTCAGAGAAAGCACTTACCATGATAGTCCCCTTGGCCTGGTGTATTGGTGAGGATGATCTTCATGCAGCTGTAAGGTGTGTAGTCTGTCCTCTTGCCTTCCTTTCCATAGCTGTGACGGATGTTATAAGAGTAGCCTTTATCAAACTGATTGGAAGAAAAAGAGAGAAGAGACAAGTTAAGCCAGCATTAAACTGACGGTACCAGCAGTGCCAGCTGGAATCAAAGCGTACAAAGTAACACTTTCTAAGATAAATCCAGCATTCACGGCAGATGTACATCTATATCATGCACAACACTTGGGTACTTTGTAGGTTTTTAAAGGTGCAAAACCTAAAGGAAATAAATTTATCAGGTTAGAGACAGTTAATGTTTATATTTATATGTTTAAAGATGAGGATAATTCTTTCCTGAGAAGAATAATCAATTTGCCTTTTCTTGGCTTGATTCCAAAGATCATGCAGGATGTCAATCATCTTCTCTATCCACCTTATGCTAGTCTTCCCTGAATTCCCACATCTTGCCTACTCTACTACTAAGGGCCTCCTGATATAATTAATGCCTCCCCTGCATTTTCACTACACAAAAGCAAGCCGTCAGCTAATGCTTCAAGAATGAAAGAACACTGTGACTGCCTCCTGCCAGGAAGTCCCGACTCATGTTCAACATGAGTCAACTCATGAGTTGTTCAACATGAGTCAACTCATGAGTTGAACTCATGTTCAACTCCACAAGAAGGACTTAGAGGGTGGGAGAAAAGGGAACTCATATTTATTGAGAGGCTCAGTATAGCGGGTCTAAGCTGTCCAATACTTTAAAGAACGTAGGAAAAAGAATCAAGAGATGAGAAAATACTGTGGGTTTTCATGGATGAGATTGTTTTTCATTGAGGTATACAGCTGATTTACAACATTGTGTTAGTTTCTGGTGTACAGCAAAGTGATTCAGCTATGCATATACATATATATATTCTTTTTCAGATTATTTTCCAGTATATGTTATTATAAGACACTGAATACAGTCCCCTGTGCTATACAGTAGGACCTTGCTGTTTAGAACTGAGATTTTTAATTTTGAGGCTATAATCTACATTAAGTGACATGCGTACATATCAAGTCTCCAGTTTGATGTAACACACACCACCATCAAGAAACGGCATGATTCCTTCATTCACAAAGCTCCCTCAAGCCCCTTCACAGCATTCTTCCCCAACCTACACACCAGAAGCATCTGCTGGTTTCATTTCTGTCACCATGGCTTCAGACATTCTACAACTTCACATAAATGGCATCACCTACAACTTGGCACTTGCCTTCTACCTCTACAAGGATCAAATTATGAGCTGCTTCAGCTGTTGACCTTCAAACCCCCTTGAAAGGAGTTCAATTTGGAGATTAGGAATGAGGCACTCTGTGCTCTGGCAAAAAATGGCAGAAGAGGTCTTTAGAGAGTTAGATATTTTCAGGATAAGACTTTATGAGCCTAATTCTTGCATCTCCTTGTATCTATGAAACCACTAAAATCCTTCATGGTGATGCCTGTTCTTTGTAATGAGCAGTAAGCCTCACAAGACTAGCAGAAATCCTGTGCAAAAGATATGTGCTTGATTTTGGGTACTCCCCCTTTCCCAAAATCACAAATATACTGACCTCCCTGCTACCTCTTCAGAACACTTTCTGAGAGGTAACTGAGATGCTATCTCTTGGGCTACAGTCCTCATTTTGCCCCAAATAAAACTTAACTCACAACTCTCACACTGTGCTTTTTTTTGGTCAACATGCCAAAGTACCGTATTTTGGGATGGTATATCTGGTACCCCCATGTGGAAAACGTTTTCCAACACCATTTACTGAAAATAATTTAGTCCATTGTTCTATCAGCTCAGTTCACTCAGTCATGTCTGACTCTTTGCGACCCTGTGAACCGCAGCACGCCAGGACTCCCTGTCCATCACCAACTCCCAGAGTTTACCCAAACTCATGTCCATTGAGTCAGTGATGCCATCCAACCATCTCATCTTCTGTCGTCCCCGTCTCCTGCTGCCTTCAAACTTCCCCAATATCAGGGTCTTTTAAATTGATTCAGCTTTTTGCATAAGGTGGACAAAGTATTGGAGCCTCAGCTTCAGCATCAGTCCTTTCAATGAACGCCCAGGACTGATCTCCTTCAGGATGGAATGGTTGGATCTCCTTGCAGTCCAAGGGACTCAAAGAGTCTTCTCCACAACCACAGTCCAAAAGCATCAATTCTTCGGTGCTCAGCTTTCTTTACAGTCCAACTCTCACATCCATACATGACCACTGGAAAAACCATAGCCTTGACTAAACGGACCTTTGTTGACAAAGTAATGTCTCAGTTTTTTAATGTGCTGTCTAGGTTGGTCCTAACTTTCCTTCCAAGGAGTAAGCACCTTTTAATTTCTTGGCTGCAATCACCATCTGCAGTGATTTTGGAGCCCAAAAAATAAAGTCAGCCACTGTTTCCACATCTATTTGCCATTTTGTGATGGGACCGGATGCCATGATCTTAGTTTTCTGAATGTTGAGCTTTAAGCCAACTTTTTCACTCTCCTCTTTCACCTTCATCAAGAGGCTCTTTAGTTCTTCTTCACTTTCTGCCATAAGGGTAGTGTCATCTGCATATCTGAGGTTATGGATATTTCTCCCAGCAATTTTGGTTCCAGCCTGTGCTTCCGCCAGCCCAGCGTTTCTCAAGATGTACTCTGCATATAAGTTAAATAAGCAAGTCTGACAATATACAGACTTGACATACTCCTTTTCCTATTAGGAACCAGTCTGTTGTTCCATGTCCAGTTCTAATTGTTGCTTCCTGACCTGCATACAGGTTTCTCAAGAGGCAGGTCAGGTGGTCTGGTATTCCCATCTCTTTCAGAATTTTCCACAGTTTATTGTGATCCACACAGTCAAAGGCTTTGGTATAGTCAATAAAGCAGAAATAGATGTTTTTCTGAAAGTCTCTTGCTTTTTTGATGATCCGTCAGATGTCGGCAATTTGATCTCTGGTTCCTCTGCCTTTTCTAAAACCAGCTTGAACATCTGGAAGTTCATGGCTCACGTATTGCTGAAGCCTGGCTTGGAGAATTTTGAGCATTACTTTACTAGCGTGTGAGATGAGTGCAACTGTGCAGTAGTTTGAGCACTCTTTGGCATTGTCTTTCTTTGGGATTGGAATGAAAACTGACCTTTTCCAGTTCTGTGGCTACTGCTGAGGTTTCCAAATTTGCTGACATATTGAGTGCAGCACTTTCACAGCATCATCTTTCAGGATTTGAAATAGCTCAACTGCAATTCCGTCACCTCCACTAGCTTTGTTCGTAGTGATGCTTTCTAAGGCCCACTTAACTTCACATTCCAGGATGTCTGGTTCTAGGTGAGTGATCACACCATTGTAATCATCTGGGTCATGAAGACCTTTTTTGTACAGTTCTTCTGTGTATTCTTGCTACCTCTTCTTTATATCTTATGCTTCTGTTAGGTCCCTATCATTTCTGTCCTTTATTGAACCCATCTTTGCATGATATGTTCCCTTGGTGTCTCTAATTTTCTTGAAGAGATCTCTAGTCTTTCCTATTCTATTGTTTTCCTCTATTTCTTTCCATTGATCGCTGAGGAAAGCTTTCTTATTTCTCCTTGCTATTCTTTGGAACTCTGCATTCAAATGGGAATATCTTTCCTTTTCTCCTTTGCTTTTTGCTTCCCTTCTTTTCACAGCTATTTGTAAGGCCTCCTCAGACAGCCATTTTGCTTTTTTGCATTTCTTTTTCCTGGGGATGATCTTGATTCCTATCTCATGTACAATGTCACAAACCTCCGTCCATAGTTCTTCAGGGTCTCTATCAGATCTAGTCCCTTAAATATATTTGTCACTATACTGTATAATCATAAGGGATCTGATTTAGGTCATACCTGAATGGTCTAGTGGTTTTCCCCACTTTCTTCAATTTAAGTCTGAATCAGGCAATAAGGAGTTCATGATCTGAGTCACAGTAAGCTCCTGGTCTTGTTTTTGCTGACTGTATAGAGCTTCTCCATCTTTGGCTGCAAAGAATATAATCAATCTGATTTTGGTGTTGCCCATCTGGTGATGTCCATGTGTAGAGTCTTCTCTTGTGTTGCTGGAAGAGGGTGTTTGCTATGACCAGTTCGTTCTCTTGGCAGAACTCTGTTAGCCTTTGCCCTGATTCATTCTGTACTCCCTTGCTCTGTAAGTCCATTCCTTTGCCAATGCCATAGTGTGTCTGCTACATCTTTAAAGCAAGCCTCAATTTCAGGTAATGTAAGTCCTCTCGCCTCATTCTTTTTCAGTATTATTTTGCCTATTTTATGTCCTTCCTTTTCCGTACAAACTTTAAAATCAGTTTATCAATTTCTACTTTAAAAAAATAAAAAGACTGCAATCAGTAGTTTATGGTTTCACTACTACTGATGTGCCCACAAGCAATCTACAACCAGGAAAACAAATGGCATTTTAACTGAAAGAAAACTTTCAAGAAATAAAAAAAATATTTCAAATTATCATTACATTTCACTGGTGAAAACAAGAATGTTAAAAGTTCCAGCAAACATCTTTTATGGACAACTTCTGTTTGTTTTGTTAGTCATAAGCATTTAACTATAATCAATCTCTTTGTGCAAACTTTTAGGTATGAACTGAACTTATTTAGACATAAGATTTCTCTACATTCATCAAAAAACACGGAAAGAACTTTTCAGTCAGCCATTCTGCTTAATGAAAAGCTACTCTCTCTAAGGAAAAAAAGCTAACATTAGTATCGTCCCCCTCCCTTTTCCTTCCAATTTATTTACCATTTATGTGTATGTATATCTAAATTTGGACATTCCTAAGTTTTCAGGCTATTCACATATTTATCATACAAATTGTCTTCTTTAGTTTTCAAACTGGCAAACTCTTCAAATATTGTGCAGAAGGTACATTTATCGGGTGATGTTTTAGGGAATACTTTTCAGGTGTCCACATCCAGACTCAGAGGAACGTCTCTAAGTAGTTATATGGGCAGTGGGGTGAGAACCAGGTGGAAGCACTCTTTTCTGTCTTGGCTCCTCCATCCCACCCCAGCCAGCAATAGAAAACACCTGAAAATCAACAGCCTGAAGGTGGTCAAGCAA